GACAATTAATGCGTTCTATTTCCATCAATTTTTTTATTTGTATTATTATATTATTGCTAAAAAACCGGCATACATTAATTCATTCTTAATCAATGTGTTTTGCAATATAATTGGACAGATAGACTTCAAGTAAAAACATGTCACATTTCAAACATAAATTTAAATATTAAAATTTCTTATCATTTTGTTACATTAAAATCCTGAATGAATTGTTTGCTATAAAATCAGACAAAATAATAATTGCATAGAATTCAAGTAAAAACATGTCTCATTTAAAATTTAAATTTTAAAATTCCTTATTATTTTGTTACATTTCCAAATAATTTGTTTCCCATAACATCGGACGGAATTAATAATTGCATAGAATTCAATTACGATTTTGAATTTATATCAAGGATGTGTAATAATTGAATAAAATTTCAAAGATGTTTATTTATTATAAAAATTAAATTCTAAAAAACATTTGTGTATATTTTGTAAGATGTTTGTACAAAATGTTATACTTTAAATTTATTTACATAATTTAAATTAATTACATTAGTAAATAATATTAACATCCATCAAATATTTTAATTACATAAAAAAAAGAAAAAGACTATATCTATAACTTGTATAAATAATAATATGACATTGTATTGCAATAAGTTTTACAATAAAATAATATGAGTAATATACGAGCAATAAGTTTTCGTAAAATTGTTATATTTCTTTTATCAAGGAATTAATAAATATAATGAAATCAAATTTATATTATTATAAACATGTGAGCGAGATAATATATTAATTAATTTACGGCTAGCACTACCAGACTCATATTTAATGTTCCGACAAAAAAAAAATGACGTTGATGAAAAGATGTAAAAAGATAGATGATCAAACTCTATTATTTTTCTAGGCCAGAACGGACAAGGTCCACTCATTTAATATCTCCAGTGAATTACACGAGCTACTTAACGGACAAGCTCTGTGGAAATGACACATTTAATACTTTTGTCCCGTGCATCGCACGGGCTACGTACTAGTAGGTCCATTAACCATCAACCTTTACTTTTTTATATTATTATATCAGTTTCAGTCATTATATCTATATCTATATATATCTGTATAAAAAGATTTGATTATTTTTTAAATAGTAACTATTTTTCTCCAAAAAATACCCTTTTACTAATTTTAGAAATATATTGGCCACAATTTCTATATTTTATGCATAAGTTTTTTGGGAACTTTTTAATTAATAACATACTAGTACAACACCCGTGTATTACACGGGTACTTGCTAATTTTTTTTGCTTAAAATCTAAAATTAATGAGAAAAAGTAGCTTGAAAATTTAAATACCTTTTATAAGAATATATATATTATTATATATTTATTATGACACTTTTTATTTGTGCAACTTACTTGTGTTATATTTTACTAATTTTTTTTTTTTTAACTTACAATATATAACTACATTACATATAAATATATCAATTGAGAAATAATTTTATTTTCCTAATGAATTTTAATAAATATTATTATTTTTTATTATTATAGAGATAAATATAATTTATTTATTTCATATATACAATATGGATGTCAAATCGAAGATCATCAAAAGATGATTAATTTGATATATTATATATGTAAAACCGATAAGAAATACAAAAATTATCAACTTTTAAAATACATTTATAATTCAATGGTTTATTGAAGGAAACAAATCAAAATTCAAGGATATATTAGTCACTTAGTGCCACACTATGTAAAATTACAAAGAATTAAAGGGTTGTATTAGTAAAAGTGATATTAAAATACCTAAGTTAGCTAAATAATATTTATGGAATACCCGAACCTAGATTATTAATTATTAATATATCAATATTATTTACCCAAACCTAATTACGAAGCATGATTCTTCGCCAAATAGGATTCTGAAGCACCAGAAGCAGCCACGTAGTCTCAGCGCATTCGGGAATTATATATAGGGAGGATATAGGAAGGATTTTTTATTTAATTTAAGATCATTCCTTAATGAATGTAGTTATATATAGGCCGCACATTCCATATTTATGGTTTAATATATTAGTCGCAGTTTCCATATTACAAAATCTTTATGTCCATATGTATTTCGCAAATATTTTTTCAAATTACAAAATTAATTAAATCGGAGAGGAAAGTCGGGGGATTTTAAAGTTTGTTAGTAATGTTCGAAAAAAATCTTCATGTTCATATTTATCTCATACATATTTTTCCAAGTTACAAAATTGATTGAGTTTGGACTCTTTGAATCATCATTTATTAAATATGATTAGTTACTCTGCCATATTTTATATCAATATCTCATATCACATAGAATCTTAAATTGTCACGTAAATTTTGGTTAGATTTAATAAACTAATTATTATACATTATTTACACTATAAAACTATCTTGCAAACTTTTATTTGATCACTCAATCACAATGCAGAAACAAAAAGAAAATAACAATAACAATAATGATAATAGCATGATTACAGTTTTTTAGCACAACCAAATGGCAAACTATGTGGTCTCACATACGATTTGTGTACTAATTTTAATAAACACATTTATGTAATTTTTGCACAATTTAATTTCATATAACATTTTTAATATAATAATATAGGTTATTATATTATATATTGATTTCATATTTTTTATTTATAAAACAAATTTAATAGAAATTTTTAATTTTATAATTATTAATAAATATCTCTAACCCGTGTGATAGCACTCCTGCACCCCGACCAGGTTCTCTTCCTCTCCCCAACCGTTTTGAGCCCCCCAAGGCCTGCAAAGACGCCGGGAGGTGTTCCCGGCGGTAAACCTCCGACGCTCAAGTCAATAAGGAGTAGAGGAAAATCGTATGTAACTTTAAGCAGTATTCGAGTTTTAGAGTGTGATTAACCTTACATACTCTCCCAATTAACCTATTTATATGGAATTTCTGTCTTTTTTCCCACGCTTCGTTCCTTGTCCGTCGGATCATTTATTCCTTTTTTTTTATCCCAGCCTTACACGCGTCCTTTGTGGATAAATTTAGCAACCGCCATATCTGCCCGGCTCTAGATTCATCGCAAATCCTTCCTTGGGACTACTATATAGCGGACAGCTGTAATGTCGAGCTTATACAGTCACTGGACCGAGCAACTTAAATACCGAGCTCCTAATTCGAGCAACTATTGGGCCAAAAAGCTAACAGTTGGACCGAGCAACTTAAAGATCGAGCTGCTAATCTGAGCGACTACTGGACCGTGCAAATACTCGTCTCACACCTGGACTGAGCAACTAATAGATGGACCGAGCAGCTTAAAGGCCGAGCAGTTAACAATTGGACCAAGCTATTATCTACTCGGTCTCCAGGCCTAGCTAACTCCGGCTCACATAACCAGCAAATATCCATCCGATTGACCGAGCCGTTATCATGTGCTATATCACCGTGCATCGGTACTAGTTTTTATGTTATATGCATAAAGTTTAACAATTTTTGCTATGAATCCAACAGTTGGCTCCACAGTGGAGCCAACCTTCTATATACAACAAGTAAACCTACCATATTATTAAAATTATATTATTGATATTTAAGTAATCAGAGAATATGGAAGATTTATTTGTTGTATATAGAAGGTTGACTCCACTATGGAGCCAATTGTTAGCTTCATAGCAATACCATAAAGTTTTATACCTCTTATTAGTTTTTTTTTTAAGAATGAAAAATAATCCAAAACTCTTTAATCGCGGTACTAAACAGAAATCAAGTTTTGATTTGATTGGCAGCCTGCCCCACCCAAGGCATAACTTTTGAATTTTGGATACATGATAAAATCTTAAGGGGTTGTTTACTTCGCGGGACAGGGACAAGATAAGACAATTAGTCCCGGTTATCCTACATTTACTTGCGTGGATTGGGATGAGATTTTAATGACATGGCGCAAACGTGGCAGCCGTCCATCCGTCACTTTCGGATAAAAAAATCCCGCCACGGGGATTAAATAATCCCGTTTTTTGTATACCTTTTTTACCCTCAAAAGGTGTTGCGAAAAGACCAAAATAACCCTTAATTTGCCTCAATTTACAACTTCATACCAATTAAAAGGAGATCCATCGGCCATTTTTGCCCTAGTTGCCGCTGCAACCACGACGCCATTGTTGTGAACGTTTCAGCTTCGGATTCTCCGTCAGCGGTAAGTGGAGCTTCACATTCGCCATATTACCCTATTCCATTTCCATTTTTTTTTCATTTATGTCCGTTCGTCCGACGATTATTGTTGGTACACATGTTGAAATCGAGCATTTTGCCCTAATTTCTGCATAAACGACCACGACATTGCAGTGCTTGCTGTAAAGTTCGGACTCTCTGTCGAGACTAAAGTTCAAACAACATGGTTCTTTTTTTTTTTTTTTTTCAAAACGATAGAATTTATTACTAAAAACGCATAATTACAACCGGCCAGAGCCGAAATGGGAGGCCTACCCAAGATAGCCTAAATGTCACAACACCACTCTACAAACACAAACACATAAAAAAACTCCCAAGCAGAAAAATACACACTCCCCAACGAGAGAATACACATTCCCCAACGGGAGATTCAAACACAAATAAAACACAAACTCACACCAACAACACAAATAAAAAAACAACAAAAAAACACAACAATAATTAGATTAAAACCTTTCCCACAACAGCAAAACCATACCGAACCAAAACGACGCCGACACCCATGAGCAACCACCCACACAAATAGAGACTCGGTCCAACAATAATTAGACTCTATTCATCATTTGAATTCTTTGGACATAATAAGAAAAAGTGGTCTGAAAAACAGCCAATGACAAGCGACCAAAATGTCTGCCCCCAAATGAACGAGCCGAAGACCATGCCAGATTTGTCTACTATGGAGTAGATAGAAGATTTTAAAAATTATTACGAGAGAGAGAGAGATAGAGAGAGAGAGAGAGAGTCGTGGTGGGCCGTCGAGCAGGAACTCCTCGATTTCAGCCATGGCTGGAGATGAGGAGAAGCATGTGATGCTGACTGATACAGAAAACGAGGGTTTCAACGACGAAGATGAAGAAGATGATGATGAAGAACAAGATGACCATCAAGACAATATAGGAGCTTTTGAGAATTTTGTTCCGAGCCCTCCTGTTCCTCTGAAACTGCAGATTGAGAAAGACAAGGTTTTGTTCTTACCTGTTTTTTGTTCGTTCGGAATTGCCGTGAGTCGTATTTCCACAGTTTTAGATGCCTTTCCGTAACAGGGTCCTTGCGACATTGTGTGTCGAATTATTACTCGTTTCGTTGTTGGCTATTGTTTTTCGGTAGAATCTAGTTTTGGCAGAATTGTTGTTAGTGTAAAGAAATTTAGCAAGTGACTAGATTGTACTATAATAAGCTATCTAGTGTTTGGTTAGTCCAAATAGCTTCAAAATTGTTGTTAGTGCTTGCTTTGTAACCACTTTATGTTTGTCGAATTATTACATCATGAATGTTTTTTTAAAATTACAAACACCATTTAAGGTTTTACATCTATGTGACAAATATGACATCAAATGTACTTCCCCACATGGGTACATTGGTAAGAAATAATCCCTCGATGATGAAATTTGTAAAAGAGAAACGAACATTCACGGGTCATTTATCAATTTTGAGTGATAGTTGGGTATCCTTTTTTTTTTTTTTTTTTTTAAATTTCCGGTGAGCATTTCTGCACAACGGACTTCATTGCAATGGTCTCTCCATGTTTTATTTTAACAGGAAGATGAGAGTTTAAGAAGATGGAAAGAAACGCTTCTTGGCTGCCTCGAAAGTAATTTGAATGGTTTGTCTCAAACATTGATGATAGCTCAAAGTACAACATAATGTTGTGGCAATTTTTTATTTTCTTCATTCTAATTGTGTTTAATTTTTTGAGCAGATGAAACGGAGACTGAAGTTAAATTTCACTCTATCGGGATCTTATCCCCTGATTTTAGTGAAATAACTGCTCCCTACCCCATTCCTGAAAAACAAAGCAAGAACATATTTTTCACTATGAATGAGGGTTCTGAGTACGGGCTTAAGCTCACATTCTCTGTCCTTTCATAATATAGTATCTGGCCTAGCCTACACAAATACCGTTTGGAAGGGTGGAATTCAAGGTTTGGGATTTTGCGCTATTTTTATAACCTTTTGTTATAGAGCTGAAGAATATTATTTGATGTTGATTGTGAGAATCAATTCCATGGTTTACCTGTGTAATGTAAAAATGTTGTTCGCTATTAACTTGAAGTTGTAATCACTGGCTTGGCTGTCCTAGATCACTACATACACATGAAAGACAAGGATCTTTAGCTTTTGGCTGGAAAAAAAAAAGGCGTGGTGGTTTAATGTTTTCAAACTCCAACTATCCTCATCATTGTACTTAACCGAACCTGATTTAGCGGTGTGGGGGGTTTTTGTGATTTCTAGCTGACTACACTTCTATACATGCAAGGCAAACTTTCATTGCTTTATCGAATTCTCTTTTATACATTTAACATTTTTCTTCTGTTTAGAGGCATTGCCAATGTTCGATACCAACTCCTTTTCACTTCGACTACTATAAATCAGTTTTTTTGGAAGTGGAATAAGAAAATGGAGATGCCAAAAGCTCTACTTTATAAGTATTTGTACATTCCAAGAAATGCTTGATAATTAAAAGATATCCATTTGCAAGTTTTAAATGAGAAATCTCTTTGTTTTCAATACTCTTTCTTTTCTTAGAGAATTTGAAAATCGCAGTCGATCAAAGCAGAGGAATGATCGGGACTTTTGCTCCTCAAAGAGAACCATATGTATACACATTAGAGGAGGAAACTGCTCCTTCTGGGGTGTTTGCGCGAGGTGTGTACACAGCTAAGCTTAAGGTACATAAAGTTTCTAAGTTTTCAATTGTTCTTTATGTTTTACTCTTCTCTATTTTCACAACGCAAAGATGCACGTGACACACATGTTAACTCTTCTCTATTTTCACAACATTGTTTTAATCAACATAATTGTGTTGAATCCAAGCGTTGAATTTGTCATACTTCTTGAAAACGCAATATGTTAACTCGATCTATCAAAACTAGAAAGATGCACGTGACACACATGTGATTATTAATAATTTTTGGGCCATTTGAATTTTTTTATTGGATTTTTACTTATATTATACTATGATTTAATGAAAGCTATGATTAAATATAAATAAATAAATAAATATTTATTGAACATTCGAAAATGGAACCAATCATTATTTCGGTGAAGTGATTTTTAAAGGAGTCTCCTTGGTCTATAATTTTGCTTATTAATGGCGTATTCACTTGAAATCATGATCATTTATGTTGTTATCTTATTGATATAATTTTCATATATCTTCTCTGTTATCCATGTTATCCTTAGTGGCTAACTAGTATTTGACTATGTGCGTTTGCACATACGTAAATAAAGTACTATAATTAATTTGTATGCAAATAATATTAAAATTATAAGTTATAATGATACAATATTTTAAACATCGAGTATTATAAGTCATATTTATGCATATAATATTAAAATTATAAACCTGTTTCCAGCTCAAGAAACTCGTTTCTTGACCAAGAAACCTGTTTCCTGCTCAGGAAACCCGTTTCTTGCTAAAAAAACTGGTTTCCAGCTCAAGAAACTCGTTTCGTGATCAAGAAACATGTTTCGTGATCAAGAAACCCATTTCCATAACCCGTTTTTATCAATATACTTATTCCCCTGTGTGTGTATTAATATCATGGGCATGTCTGTCATAGAATTGCAAAATAAGTACTTGCAGAAAAAGTACATCCGTCATCATCACAAATATACCAAGATTTGAACGAAAATGACAAGAAAAAATAAAAGGCTCAAAACCAAACAAAATAAAATATAGTAGATGTCAAACAAAACTTCATCATAAATGATCAATTTCATCAAACAAATTAAACAATATTCAAAATTCCCAACATCAACAATATTCAACCCTCCAAGTTTAATTTTCACAGTACTCCTCAAGCTTTCCAAGTGCAAAAATAGCAAAACTTCATCATAAATGATCAATTTCATCAAACAAATTAAATAATATTCAAAATTCTCAACATCAACAATATTCAACCCTCCAAGTTTAATTTTCACAGTACTCCTCAAGCTTTCCAAGTGCAAAAATAGCTAAAGCCATTTTCTTTCTGTAATTTTTAATATCTTTGTCAGTCGGCTTCTTCGGAAAGACGTCCCTAAGCATGCGCTCTACGTACATGCATGTAAATGGCCCACAACTGTGAATATCGTTATGTACAAATTGTTCGTCTGCTGGCATTATTTTAATTGATAAAGGTTTATTCATTGGTTTAGCCCTCAATTTCAGAAAATAGCCAGACAGTTGCATTAACGGGGACACCAAGTGGGTAAGTGGGGCCAATGTCTGCGCTCGAACAGAATTGTCCTCCGAATTGTGGGCCAACGAGTCGTAAACATGGATCTCCCACTTTTGTAGGAGCACACGACATACCACCCAGTGGTCCTCCACATCACATACCAAGACGACCTGTCCAATTCAATCCATAAGTTATCAATTAAAACTTCACACAAGTTGGATAAATTAAACACAATCACTATTTCATTATAATATGATCACTAATAAATCCAACAACTTACATTAGGATTATAAAGCCAAGATTTAGCCCAAGCAACACCTTTACCACAAACATATTTCATAATGCCCTCAGGTGCCTTCCAATTGGTATAAACACTATCAAGCTTACGCCACTACTACTCCAACAAGCCTTGATAAAAACTTTTTAGCGTAAGTAAAACTTTGTCAATTTCTTATAACGATAACATTTTATATCGACGATAACAATACTTACAAGTAGAGTTGCATCTGGGATATTAATCGTTGCGCTAGAAATTGTGCCTTTCCCTTTTTGGTATACAACCTTCGGGAAATTGCCTCAAGAAATTGATCAATGTGCTACAACAAAGATGGTTCCCATTTATTAATATCAAAGAAATGTGGTTGAAAATGAGCATTAAAATCCATTTCAAAAAAACAATACTTACAATCTGACAAAGATTTTTCCGAAAGCCCTCAATATGCGTGAAGTATTCTCGTGTGTATAACCACTTAGGTTAATGCCCAAGGTTAAATCTAGAAAAGCAAAAAATCATTATTAATGATGATAAAAAACTATTATACAAAATGAAAAGATAAGATTCTCAACACTTACAGCCTAACATCATCTTTACTGTTCATCCATTTGTTGTAGGCGCGACTCAATTTTTCCTCTTCGCCCTTCTGCAATGTGTTCACAAAGGGTGAACTTAAATTTTTGCCCAAGTACCTCAAACGTCGTGTTTTTAGTGGCACATATCCTCATCATCATCCTCCGCAATCGCCTAAGAGTTTTTAGAACATAAAATATTAGTTTTAGGAGAAAATTTACAGGCATTCAATTATCATCCAAATAAGGTCTTATACTTTTATGAATTTATATGACATTTAAATCCCATCCAACTAAGCAGAAAATTTACAGACATGATCTCACATGGATGTACTTCATACAAAGAAATTTGACAAACATGCTCACATAGCAATATACTATCACCTCAAAAATTATTGCTTGAGAAAAGTACAACAAAACATCATGTTGTTCGGAGCTCAATCAAATCATGTGCATGCTTGAAATAAATAAGAACATGAATTTGCACATACTCTCCTCAACCCTTTTTTCATACCACCTCAACAACATATAATCATCATGAAATACATGTATTCCACATGCTTAACATCTCAGGTTATGCATACATTATAAAGTCGAATCATACCAACAAAAATTCTCACAACCATAACTCAAGTAAACTCGAAAATCAAATCATATAGACATGCTTCTTGACTCGAACTTTCTCATATAACCGTAACAACATATAAACATCACATAACAAATAGATTTCCTATGCTTCATTAATCAACAACTTACTTCATCACCAAGCACCTCCTCCACATCTGGGGACTTCTCCATACCATGAACTTCCTCATCAACCGCCTAAGAGTTATTGGAACAACAAAATGTTTCATTTATGAGAAAAAAAGTTTAATTCTGGAAATAATGTACAAATGTCAAAAAAGAACTTGTCACATGTAAATTTCAGTACGTTATCATAGAGTTTTTGGAATCAGAAATATTCTTTTTTCGATAACAAAAGTTTAATTATGAAAATAATGTACAAATGTCAAATGCAAATGTGAAAAATTTACCTCATTGCGAACCGCCTCATGCTCCAGATCCTCATTGGACTTCTCTTCGGTCTTCTCCACCTTAGGGGACTTCTTCTCCACATAACCTCCATATCCTGAGGGGACTTCTTCTCGGACCTCTCTTCCTCATGAACCGACTAAGATATTTTGGAACAAAGAATATTAATTTTAGAAGAACTAAATTGTAATTTAGGAAAAAAATGTACAAATGTGCAAAATTTACCTCATTGCCAAACACCTCCTGTTCCGGATCCTCATTGGACTTCTCCTTCTCATGAACCGCCTAAGAGTTTTTGGAACAAATGTACAAATGTCAAAATAAATATGTTAAATTATAATCCACCAAAATGAACATGTTAAGTGTCAAAAGAAACATGTCAAATATAAATGTCAAAAACTTACCAAATGAACAAATTCTGGTATTTCACTTGATTCTCCTCGAGTTGAAGGATTCTCATCTCCTTGCTTTGTACTCACAACTCTCGCCGTCATAGAATCATCCAATCTCTTTAACACTTCCTCAAATGCTCGATTAATGGCATCGGGGACGAGCTGACTCAATGTTCTCTCAACTACCGAAGGCACCAACTCCTTCAGACAGTTGGAGACTTCTTCCTTCATCAATGATCTGAGGAGATCCTTGTCCATTCCAGAAATTTCAGGTGCCCCCGCCTCCCTCTCTTCTTCCCTGGGCTCAACTGGCTCCCTTTCTTTATCGCTTTCTTGCTTTGTTTCCGCCTCGACGGGCTCTGTGTCAACATTTCTTACTATCTCTTCTTCCTCACCATCATTAGCCTCAATACCACGAGCCTTCTTCAAAGGTTTG